ATTTTAAATTTAAAAAGTATACAACTATTTACAATATATTCAATATGCATTATTTTTGTTAAAATAATATTTTAAGATCCCTAACATATTTTAAATATAAAATTCAAAAAAAATATTTTCAATATATACAATGTTATAATAATGTTTTAAATATAAAAAAAGTATAAAACTATTTACAATATTTTTAATAAATACTTTAAATATAAAAAGTAAAAAAACTATTTACAGTATATACACAATATTTTAACATCCCTAAGCCTGTAATAAGGCCTAAGTGGAGGGATGTTATGATAAATATTTTAAACATAAAAAGTAAAAATCTATTCACAGTATATATAATATACAATATTTTAACATCCCTAAGCATGTAATAAGGCCTACGTGGAGGGATGTTATAATAAATATTTTAAATTTAAAAAGTATACAACTATTTACAATATATTCAATATTTTAATTTTTTAAATAAATATTTTAAATATAAAATGCAAAAATATTATTTACAATATATACAATGTTATAATAATGTTTTAAATATAAAAAAGTATAAAACTATTTACAATATACAATATTTGTAATAAATACTTTAAATATAAAAAGTAAAAAACTATTTACAGTATATACAATATTTTAACATCCCTAAGCCTGTAATAAGGCTTACGTGGAGGGAATAAATATTTTAAATATAAAAAGTATAAAACTACTTTAAAAATATACATGCATCTCTAAATACATGATTTTGCTAGTAATAAGGCCTAAGCCAAGGCATGGAAAGGCCACTCATGTCATCTTGCCAGAAACAACACTGACAGTATAAACCTACTGTACTTCTCATCGATGACATGAATGCTGTTTAGATGCATTCCGGTTAATTGGCAGGGGATTAGGAAAACCCAACACAAACCAGTCATGGTAAAGCATCTGCTCCAGGGCAATCCTGTGCTCTGGATGACGCTGCAGACAAGCCCACAAAAAACGGATGCATTCTGTGTAAAAAAGATGAGAGAAATTTGATTATTATCTTAACTTTACACATGCTATCTTTAGCTTTATACATGCTATATAATTATTAATTCTTTGCTCAAAATCTTACCATGTGACACCGCAAATACAGACTGGTTGATGCCCAAGCAGTACAAGTCTCTGGCTGTCGGAAAACGCCCATGCAGCATTGCAAACAGGAGCACCCCTAGTGAATACACTGTCGCAGGCTTTGCATGATATCTGCCTCTGTCATGATATTCTGGAGAGAAGTATGGTTTTGTACCTGGGGGAAAGAAATTTTGTTAGATGTTTATAACACAAGCATGTTGACTATATACAGGATGCGTCTGAGTGAGCTATTCAATTTGATAGCAAAGCGATGCGTAATACTTACCACAGCAAGCGCTGTAGCCTGAATCCTTCACGAGGTCCCCACACCCGAAGTCGATCAATTTGATCTCCAACGTTGCCGGGTTCACGAGCACGTTTTCCAGCTTGATGTCGCGATGGAAAACGCCACGATAGCAGCAAAAGTTAGCGGCATAAATTACTTGCCACATGAGGTACTGTGCTATCTGCTCGCTGAGGACACCTCCGCTGCATTTCAGAAATTTCCCCATATCCATGCTTGGCACGGGCCGCTCCAAGACTATGAGGTAGTAGTCTGGGTCATCCTGCCAGTCCAGCATTTCAATTATCTGTGGACAGTTGGGTTTCCTGTTGATGATGACTGCCAACGCAATCTCTAAAGGAAGAGGTTTGGGGTAAAAAGCCTAAAAAAAAATTAAAATATGATCATTAGATTGAAGCCATTTGCCACATTGTTCGTCAAAGGCAGTTTGCCTATTGAAATGTGATTAACATCAATATAAGATGGTGTTATGCTGTATCATAAGATGATAAACAGTGAATGAGAAGAAAAATGCAGAGAGCGAAGCATACTCACAGTGCTGATATATGTCGTATCTTTAGTCTTTTGGACATATTTCACAGCCACCTGATTAACAAAACAAAGAATAAACAATTAACATGTACAGAGGTGATTTCATTCCAGTCATGAATCCTGAAGAGAAGTAAATCAACAAGCAGTAAATTAAAACCTAGTAAAGTATGTTTGGTCAGTCAGGAAGTAAATAAAAAAATACCTTAAGACTATCCTTATAGCGAGTCCCTTTTCGCACTGATCCAAATCCTCCTTCACCCAGCCTGGCACCAAATTTGTACCGCCAACAAATATGATCTGTTAAAAATAAGTAAACGTAAATGACATTAAATAAAGTGACATTTCATTCTTATTCATTTTATAATTAAAATTCATTTGACACACTGGAGGACTATTTAAATGAACTGCAACAAAGCTAAATGGTGATTAAAGGTGGGGTAAGTGCTTTCTGGTAGCCAATGTTGATATTTCAAATCACCAAAACAAACAAGCCCTTACCCCAAAAGGGTCTCACCCCTATTTTGATAGCTCCGCCCCACACATACGTACGCAATCCAGGCAACGATTATGGCGGAATCTGCTGTGCCAGCCGGCCGAGGGTATGATGTCATCAATAAGTGAAAGCAAAACCAATGTTACTCACCTATCGAGAAGTAACAAAGCAACCTCGCCGTCTGATCGCAGGCCTTCCCGCTCCTTGAGTTCTCTCTAGCGCTGGAAAGCTGATCCGATATTTACACGGGTCCTACTTCTTGCCTTATCGTAAGCCTTCTTTTGTTCCGCAGACGTTTTCCTCTTTTGTTTTTTATCCGCCATCTCTATCTTTCTGTCGCTCGGCTCGGCTAATGTCCATCCTGTGCACTGAGCGCTCTCTCCTCCCCATCATGAGTAGACACGCCCCTTACTGCTGATTGGCTACAAGTTTGTTTTGGTACTCGGCCCGACTCAGTTTTCTAAAGCATTTTTGAAAAAATACATACCCCACCTTTAAATGTATTACAAAAACTACTGTACATATTACAGCTGTTTTGGGTTATGGCAGTAAACTTACCTTTGTCTAGCTCTCCTGTTGGAACGGAGTCTACTTGAGTACGCACAGCACTGGCAATGCCCCTATATACTTGAGGATACCTTGCAGAGGCAATGCCCACATCTACTTTGGGACGACCTTTAGAGGTAATGCCCTTGTCTACTTTGGGACGTTCTTTAGAGGCAATGCCCCTGTCTACTTTGGGATGCCCTGTAGAGGCAATGCCCTTTTCTGGTTTGGGACGCACCACACAGGCAATGCCCCCATTTACTTTGGGACGCTCTACAGAGGCAATGTCCCCATCTACTTTGGGACGCACTGCATGGGCAACGTCCCTCTCTGCTTTGGGACTGACTGCACAGGCAATGTCCCTCTCTGCTTTGGGTCTCACAGCAGAGTTAACGTTCTGATGTACTATGAGACTCCCTGCAGAGGCAATGTCCTCATCAGCTACTGCACAGGCAATGGCATTGTGTGCTGTGGAGATCACTGCAGAGTCAAAGCTGCCATCTGCTGACAGACGCACTGGAGAGTCAGTGTCTTTATCTGCTGATGACCACACTGACGTGTCCAGGACCACAGGTTGGAGGACGTCTTCAGTGTACTCAGCAGTGGGGATCAGTTCCTTGAGGACTAAAATGCAAATAAATAAATAAATATTATGAATAAAATATTGAAAACCCATATTCAATAGTTTCTTCACTTAGAGGCACTTTTTTTTTTGTATTTTGAAAAAGCAAATGTTTTAGATCTTAAAGGGGTCATATGATGCGATTAAAATTTTTCCTTTCTCTTTGGAGTGTTACAAGCTCTTGGTGCATAAAGAAGATCTGTAAAGTTGCAAAGACTAAAGTCTCAAATCCAAAGAGATATTCTTTATAAAAGTTAAGAGTTAACCACGCCTACCTAAAACGGCTCGTTCTAACACGCCCCCACATATCTACGTCACTATGTGGGATTATCTTATATCAATCAAAAATCCTCAACACAATTTCATTTTCATTCGTTTCTTGTGTTTTTTGTGGAAAAACAATTGTACACATGAGGTGAGATCCCGCTATTTAAAAGTCATACATCAAGCAATACAAAAAACGAAGTAACTGTTTAAGAAAAGTTCTACTTTACCTTGACTATGACTCCGGTATGTTCCTGTTCCCGATACAGAAGTCTGGAACAGCTTCTCAGCCTTAGCTACACTGTACTTTTTTCTTCTTGAGTGCCACCGCCAAAACCTCTTCCTCTTTCTCGTATTCTTTTCTTTTCTTGCCTCACTACCACTAACGTTACCACCATCAGCCGCACAAGCTCCAACAGTCTCTTTATCCTGATCAGGATGGGTTTGGGGTTCTTGTACAGACTTCCTATTTAACAAAGTCCTTAGACGATTCAGTGCCTTCCTTAATAGGCCCATTTTTACACAGTTTACCGGTAATACTGTTGTACTTTTATAGTACTTTGATATCCGACTACTTAAAACCTACAAAATGAGCAAGAAAGATTCGCGCTTTTTATATGCTGGCGACAATTCCATTTGTGACGTCATCAGGTCGCATGCAAAAGTTAAAAACAAAACATTTTTCAAAACAAAACAAAATCAATGGCTAAAGTGTCTAACAATCACGTGTTAAAACGAACTTAGAACGACCTAGCAACTGCATAGCAACATATCAATCCAAACCCTTTAGATTGGTGATGATAACATTATTCAGTTAAAGTGTCATTCTCATCCAGGCCACAGAGAGGCAATAAAGAGCCACTGCACAACCTTCCAACTGGAGTTTGGAAAAGCAAAACACTAAAAGGTCGTAAACCGAGCAGTATTTAGTAAACAGACGCATTTATTCAAATTTAAGATTTTCTGTTTGTTGACGTTTTTACTGAACGTGTTGTCTTTCTCATAAGTATCAACAGTGTACACTACAGTTGTGACGGTAAGATACTTTTTGCATCTCAAAATATTTCAGTAAAACTAGCGCTAGACACAGTTCTGTCAGCTGTTAGAGTAAATGGCCTCTTGTAAGAAAATGTGCTTTTTATGGTCCAAAAATGTATGAAGATCAAAAATATGTTAATTATTTAATAGCCCTGCTGGTCAGAAGTGAGTTAGCAGAGGCTGATCTCGGCGTCTTGTTCATGCACAACGAAGGGTACAGCACCATGTGTGGCCACGCTGTCATTGCTCTCGGGCGCTTTGCGGTGGATTATGGCTTGATTAAAGCACCCACTTCACCAGAGACGCAGATAAACATACACTGCCCCTGTGGCTTAGTGAAGGCCTTTACACAGTATTCCAACGGGAAAACTGGAGCTGTCAGATTCCACAGTGTGCCAGCCTTTGCTTTCGCTACGGGTGAGCAATATGGTGTGATCATGACAATATGATCATAAAACATTTGCAAGTTTGATTATGTTCAAATGGTGTCACTTTGAAACATATATTTTTAGATTGTTTTTAATTAATCACTTGCCAAACTTGTTTTATATATATATTTTGTATAATATCATATTTAAATTGTCTTTAAGAGAGCTGTTTTATTCTTTGCCTTCCTTGTTTTTCTAGATGTGAGTGTCTCGGTACCAGGATATGGGTCCATCACTGTGGACATCAGTTATGGTGGAGCTCTGTATGCTTTTGTGAGTTCTGAGAAATTTGGATTGGATGTCAACAAGTCCAAGACCAGAGATCTGGTGGATGCAGCCACTGCTGTGAGTGATGCTGTTAAATCCCAGGTAACTGTTGTTATCGTTAACTAAAACTAGCTGAAAAAAAATCATTTGTGTTCATTAAAATGAGCTAAAATAAAGTAGAAATATTACTTAAAAACTTAAACTGAAAAAAACTAGAGATGTTGCCTCAGCAATTAATTGCAGGTTTAAGTTGAAATACTAAAATTAGTAGAACTATAAATAAAATCAAGCTAATTAGGAAAAAAAAACTAATTATGTTGAAAACATAACAATGACTAAAACTAACTCAAATTAAAATGAAGACTGGAAAATAAAAATAAAGCTAATATAAAACATACTAGAAATAATTCTAAAATAATCTTATTTGACTCTTGTTTGATTCTTGAGATTTTTTTTTTTTTTAATTTGGCAAGAAAGAAACATGAACCTACTTTATTCAACATTGTGTTTTATTAGTCTGTAATTTGTATGATAATTTGCATAATTGACCGGACTAATTGTTGTAATGACTCTAGGTAAAGCTGTACCATCCAGTCAGTGAGGATCTGGCCTTCCTCTATGGCACAATCCTTACTGACGGCAAAGATGCTTTTTCTGAAGAGCCCACGGCCAATGTGTGTGTGTTTGCTGATGCACAGGTAAAACCAGTTGTTTATATGAATCCGTATACAGAAAGTTTGGGACTTTAGGACTGTTCATCCTAATATGAAATAATTTGGTTGATGGCGACTGGTCTTTTGCTCTTTGTGACAGAGGTTTGTTATATGGGTTGTCAGGTGGACAGAAGCCCTACAGGGTCAGGCGTCACTGCTCGTATAGCTCTTCAGTACCATAAAGGCCTGATCGGACTGAACCAGACCAGAAGCTTCAAGAGTGGAGCTACAGGATCAGTGTTTACAGGAAAAGCAATAGAGGTACCTGTAGAAAATATAAACCATTTTAGGGTCTAGTCCTGGAAATGTAGTTTATATTCTTTAACAAAAGCAGTAATTGTAATTGGTCTGTTGTTGAAGGAGACCACGTGTGGGGACTTCAGGGCTGTGGTAGTGGAGGTCAGAGGTCATGCTCACTACAGCGGTGTGGCCAGCTTCACCCAAGAGAGCGATGACCCTCTGAGAGGAGGTTTTCTTCTGCGCTGACTTAAAGTTTACAACTGATATTTCTGCTTCTGATCGCAGGTACAGTGTAAGACAGGTTTTCTGAGCTCAGGGACATGTGAATCTTCTGATGTAGGTTCTTTATAAAGGAAATCATGATTAGACATTGAATAAATGTTTAGATATGATATATAATAGATAGGATTTCAATATATTGTTTTTAACCTGTTTTTTTTTTACTTTAGTTTTTTAACCTGTTTTTTTAAAACATTCTCTAACAAATACTTAGACATTTCACAAAAATATAGTTTAAATTTTTATACTGTTTAGTTCTATTTAGGGTGTATGTATGTGTATATATATATATATACACTGAACAAAATTATAAACGCAACACTTTTGTTTTTGCCCCCATTTTTCATGAGCTGAACTCAAAGATCTAAGACTTTTTCTATGTACACAAAAGGCCTATTTCTCTCAAATATTGTTCACAAATCTGTCTAAATCTGTGTTAGTGAGCACTTCTCCTTTGCCGAGATAATCCATCCACCTCACAGGTGAGGCATATCAAGATGCTGATTAGACAGCATGATTATTGCACAAGTGTGCCTTAGGCTGGCCACAATAAAAGACCACTCTAAAATGTGCAGTTTTATCACACAGGACAATGCCACAGATGTCACAAAGTTTTGAGGGAGCGTGCAATTGGCATACTGACTGCAGGAATGTCCACCAGAGCTATTGCCCGTGAATTGAATGTTCATTTCTCTACCATAAGCCGTCTCCAAAGGCGTTTCAGATAATTTGGCAGTACATCCAACCAGCCTCACAACCGCAGACCACGTGTAACCACACCAGCCCAGGACCTCCACATCCAGCATCTTCACCTCCAAGATCGTCTGAGACCAGCCACCCGGACAGCTGCTGCAACAATCGGTTTGCATAACCAAAGAATTTCTGCACAAACTGTCAGAAACCGTCTCAGGAAAGCTCATCTGCATGCTCGTCGTCCTCATCGGGGTCTCGACCTGACTGCAGTTCGTCGTCGTAACCGACTTGAGTGGGCAAATGCTCACATTCGATGGCGTCTGGCACTTTGGAGAGATTTTAGCAAATGGCTGCAATATAACAAAGAGTGAAAAATTTAAGGGGGTCTGAATACTTTCCGTACCCACTGTATATATATACACACTCACACACTAAAGAAAATGACAATTAAAAAACGTAAAAATAATAAGAGTAAAAATGATACATTTCCAAAAGTCAATACAATACACATAATCAGTTCTGGATTAAATATAAAATAATTTGTTTTATAGTATATACACTACCACTCAAAAGTTAAATTTGGACAATAAGATTTTTAATGTTTTTAAATAATTCTCTTCTGGCTCACCAAGCCTGCATTTTTTAAATCCAAAATACAGCAAAAGCAGTAATATTGTTAAATATTTTACTATTTAAAATAACTGCTTCCTATTTTAATATATTTTAAAATGTAATTTATTCCTCTGATGACAAAGCTAAATTTTCAGCATCATTACTTCAGTCTTCAGTGTCACATGATCCTTCAGAAATCATTCTAATATGCTGATTTGCTGCTCAAGAAACATTTTTTTTATTATTATCCATATTTAAAACAGTTGAGTACAAAACAGTTTTTCAGAATTCTTTGATGAATTGAAAGATCCAAAGATCAGCATTTATCTGAAATAAGCTTTTGTAACATTATAAACTACATCATTCAAAAGCTTGGAGTCAGTATATTTAAATCATTATATATTTATTATTAAATTATAGAAATTAATATTTTATTTAGCAAGGATGCATTAAATTGATCAAAAGTGATGAGAAGGGCATTTATAATGTTACAAAATATTTCTATTTAAGATAAATGCTGTTCTTCTGAACTTACTATTCATCAAAGAAACCTAAAAAAAATCTACTCTGCTGTTTTCAACATGGTAATAATAATAAATGTTTTTTTTTTTTGAGCAGCAAATGAGAATATTAGAATGATTTCTGAAGGATCATGTGACTAGAGTAATGATGCTAAAATCAAGCTTTGAAATCACATGAATAAATTACATTTTAAAATATATTCAAATAGGAAGCGGTTATTTTACATAGTAATAATATTTCACAGCATTACTGCTTTTGCTGTATTTTGGATCAAATAAATGCAGGCTTGATGAGCAGAAGAGAAGTTGCTCTGTTAGTGCGGTTCTTTGAGTAAGTGTGAACGTTGCTGTCCGAAACCTGGTGCGCACCAAACAAGCGGACCGAATCCAAACGCACTCTGGTGCGGTTCGAATGAAATATGAACGCAAAATGGACCAAATGCTTCTAAACTAACCAAAAACAGGAAGTACTGACAAAATGCGACATGATTTGATGAAGGGAACAAGCGGTGTATCCAAAACAAAATGAGCAGAGGGCAAACATAGAGCAACGAGGAGGTAAACTGCCTTTTATGAGCTCGCTCAGTCCAGCAGGCGGCATTAGGTGTATTTGACTTAAAGCGGCGCTGAGCAGACCGATCAGTGAATGGGAACTTTGAAGTTATACACCAAGTCAAATGTACCTTTTCCTCTTGTTTGGAGAGTTCGATGAGTATCTATAGGTTCGCTGTCAAAAATGCCAGTGTGAATGCTAAGCGGAGCAGGACCAAATGTATCATTTTCCTTTATGGTCCGGACCAAATGAACCAAACGAATGGAACTACAAGTGTGAACACATCCTAACTTTCTCAGCTCAGATTTTTACGTTTAAAAAAATAAATAAAAGTAGCAAAATATTTGTTGTAAAATATAGTATCTTTGTGAACATTTAAAAAACATTAATAATTGACAAATACAATTATTACTAATTTAAAGGGGTCCTATTATGCTCTTTGACAAAGTCTTGATTTTGTTTTGGGGGTGTACTAGAACAGGCTCTCATACTAGGTTCTGTACATGATTTGCTTTTAGGCCTGAAAAAAAAGAGGAATCATGCAGCACTTACGCTCTCTACGCTCTTCAAGCCACTGCGAAGATTATTGATCTCCTTCTCCAGTTCAGTCATGCTGGAAAGACACAATCGTAGAGATCCCAGTCATTTTATGTGTGATCAAGAATGCATTTTCTACAGGAGATTGGGGTAAACTGTGACACTTTTAAATTAAGCTGTCCTCCATGTAAGGAGAAATTATATAAAAACATAATTTAGTCAGTCTACTATAAAATCCATAACAACGGGACACAGAAAAAGGATATAAAAAAGGGACAAGCGGCAAGTTGAATCAATGGGGAATATGTGAACAAGTATGTGAATGTAAAAAAAAAAAAACAATGCTTTTTAGAATATCTGAATGTTGTGAAACAATTTTAAACTTTTTTTTATATTTAACTATTGAATATTATTTGTGTTTAATAGTTAAAAATATGAGAGAAAGCTTGTAATTGGACGCAGATCTTACAATTATTATTTAATATTTGCAGCATCTGACACATTTACCCCACAGCTACTATTCTGTAAATATTAATACCTGACAGTGATCTATAATTTAGATAATTGAAATTAAAACTTAAAATGTACCAACAAGTATTATATATTTTAGTTTTTAATTATTCTATTTTTATATAAATTAAATTTAAATGCATTTTTATATACTTTGTTTCATTTTCCATACATTTATTGTACTTGCCATTTAACTTTAAAAAAACGGGTAACACTTTACATTAAGGTCCTAACAGTTAACGTTAGCTAATGCATTAAATGAACTAAATTAATTAAAGGGGTCATCGGATGCTAATTTGAGATAAGTTGATATGATTCTTTAGGGTCTTAATGAAATGTCTATAACATACTTTGGTTAAAATGTCTCAATGGTAGTGTAAAAATTCACCCCGCCCCTCTCTTCTGTTGGGTGACGAGCAGTACGGTTTACTTCAGCCGCGAAACTTGCTAACTAGCACATATTAGAAAAGGCGATTTGCAAAGATTCATAAAAAACCTTATACTCACTTCTTCTGTAGATGAAGCTCGATCACTAATGATTTGTGCGAACATAGACGCGTCGTTATAGGGTGGATGTTTACACACACTTCCAACACACATTTATGTTCAAACAACAATAAAAGTGAATTTTGCATCCGATGACCCCTTTAACAATGAGCGATACATTTGTTACAGTATTTATTACAATAGTTAGTTTATGTTATCTTGGGTCCATTAAAATAATATTTAAAACAAATCAAACTTTTTATTTTAATAATGTAAATGTTGAAATTTAAATCTAATTTAAACAATTACATTAAACATTTATCTTTTTTTTTTCAAAATGTGTTTTTTAATATTTACATCATATTTAAATATTATATTTGAATACTAATTTTATATATTTTTAGCTCAATTTAATGATTAAATATTTAAATATGTACTGTACATCTCTCAGTCACAGTCAGCAGTATTGGCCCTTTTAAAATATATGGCCATATAACCAAAATCTCAATATGACATACAGGCTGACCATTTTTAGCCTTTTATCCAAACAGGTCACACTGATAAGAAGCTAAGATATGTCTAACAGGCATTTATCTGAACTTTAACCCCTGTGATAGCACTAAAGTGACTCCATTAGTCAGATACTGCATATAATGTGTGTGAACGGCTCTGTTTCGAGCCAGCTATTCTTAGCTGCACAAATGACCTCCTCAGTAGGACTGATAGCCGCTTGTCTTCAATCTGTGCAGCCTTTATTCCTCCCTCCACAAATAGGCCATTGTAACGGACTGAACCGTCAAAGTACACAGAAACATGCTTAAGGAAAAACTTGTCTACACTTGCTGACTGGACATTCAAACTCAGTGTACCTTGTGACCCTGGAACTTATTTTTATTTGCTGAATAAATGACACTGACTTATAAACTGAGTCAAACAAACAGAAACCTTTGTTTCATTCTTTCTACCCCCTCAAATGAGATCACGGTCTTGTGACTTCACTTGTGGACCGAGCATGATTACATTAGTCTCGCTGGCGCGACTAAAAAGTAGTTTAGTGGCCGTTCTACTGTACATTTGGATAGTCCCTTTAAGGCAATGACTCAAAATTAGAAACTATTTTCCAAAGGGTGAGAACGTCACAAGCATATCACTCACAATTTGGCCCAAATTTGCTGGCACGCACTTTACAGCAGCACGCAGATCTCGAGAGGTCATCGAGTGGAGATCTCTCTGCTGTGGTGGTATGCATGTTTCTCTCTTCTGACTATGATTTAGGGTTTTACTCTGCATATGTGAGTAAGTAACCAAAAGCTTGTATAACCCACAGCATGGATTCAAGCCCAGTGGTGGGCAGAACAGGAGTGACACCGCAAAAACTATTTCCAAAATCCATTTAGCGCAAGTAGACCCTAAAGGCCTGTAAATCGTAAAGCTGATGATAGAAGCGCACACCAGCCACTCCGCAGCTATACCTACTTTACTTTTGCAGCTTCCGGCACGTTCGGCAGCTCCTCGGAGAAGATCACGACTTTGGAGTACTTCTTCTCCAGAATGGTGATCAGGTAGTGTAGGAGAGTGATATTCCTGCAACGGGACAAAGACCACAATCAATGTATGAATATAAAAGCTAGAAATAACCGTCTTATTTTTTTCATATCTTCTCACTTGTCGATGCTGGACTTGGTGTCTGCAATCTTGTTGAGTGAAGAGATTTTGAAGCCGTAAGCGTTGCCTCTCTGTCCTTTGTTCATGTAGTTGCCGAACGCCAGCACCACCTCCAGCAACTGCTTGAGATTTCTACTGTGCAGCACCTCTTTTGAGGCCTTGGACAGTGCTGAAAAGTGAAACACAAAGAGTCACACAAAAGCCTAAAATGTTTAAATGTTCATGAACTATACTGTAACAATACTGTAATCATTATCACTAGCAAATTTGAGCAGTTGAATATTAGTAGAATAGTCTGTTAATTGTGACATCATAATGTAATATGTAATATTGTGAAATATTGTTACAAATTGAAACTCTTTCCTATTTGAATATCCTATAAAATTGAATTTATTCCTGTGATGGCAAAGCTGAATTTTCAGCAGTCATTACTCCAGTATTCAGTGTCACATGATTCTTCATTCTAATATGATGAATTGGTGCTCAGTTATTAATAATGGTTCTTATTATTATCATCAATGTTACAAACCGTTTTTGCTGCTTAATATTTTTGTGGAAACATTATTTCAGAATTCTTTGATGAATGGACATTTCAAAAGAACTGCATTTATTTGAAATAGAACCTTTTGTGACATTATAAATGTTTTTACTGTCACTTTTAATCAATTTCATGTATATTTTCTGAATAAAAGCATTCATTTCTATTAAACACACACACATGCCCAAACATTTGAATAGTAGTATATCATGGTTTCAGCATAAATATTAAGTAGCACAACTGTTTTCAACATTAATAATAATAATAATAATAATAAATGCTTATTGAGCAGCAAATCAGCATATTAGAATGATTTCTGAAGGATCATGTGACCCTGAAGACTGGAGTAATGATGCTGAAAATTCAGCTTTGCCATCAAAATAATAAAATAAATAAAATAAAAATATATAACAGAAAACAGTTGTTTTAAATTGCAATATTATTTCACAATAAGTTTACTGCGTGTACTGTAAATCATAATGTTTCCAAACTTTTGGAAAGGGCTTATATATAAAATATAAAATACATATATATTTTTTTTATTTCTTTTTATTATATTAATTATACATTACTTGTTAATTAATCTAAATATTAATCAGAATATTCTGCACTTGAATACAGCAATTCTTATATACTAAGACTGTCAGTTCAAAACAAGTAAATAAATAAATAAAAAATGTTTTTAAAAAAACGATCAACTGATTTTTGCAATGCAAATGTGTTTAAAGTGCACATGCACAAACCTTCAACTTTAGGTTTAATTTCTGCAATCCTCTCTGCAAACTTCTTTTTGAAGTACAAAGACTGTAACCTCTGCTGGTAATGGTTTATTCTGTGTGAAGGACAAAGAAAGAGGATTGGGCCAGGGAAAAATATCAAAGCAAGGTCCATTAAAAGGATTGCACATCACCCATAATAGATTCTAAATGAGCTGTAGAGATTTACTGTCTTGCATATGACACAATAAAACGCACATGATCTGTATACACAGCATTAATGGTTCCACTGAATAAAGAACAAACAGTCTGAAGCAGTGATCTGAACCTGACGCTGCTGCGTTGCATTCAGCACTCTCGTGTCGGGAACAATCACCTTGGTTACCGCACTTGCCGAGGGCCTAAACACAGCCATAGAGACTAAAATCGGACAAGCCAGTCGATTCTTGGAACGATTTGTCTTCCATCCTCTATACTCCAAACACATCAGCCACAGCGGAGTGAAAAAAAAAAAACTCACTAGGGTCTCATAAACAGAGGAAGAAAAAGCAAGCAAGCCAAGGCACCTGTGCTTTGTTTGGCTAAGCTCCTCTGCTAGAAAGCTGCATGTCTACGATAAGATAGTACTTATTTAGTTACAGAAAATATTGATGCTGAATGGGATCCTCAGTCTGACCAGATCAATGTATCACCCAGGATTCATAACCCTTTTCCTTCCTTCCTACAGGAAATCGCATTTACTTCTAACACCACGTGTTTGAGTGTGTGGAAAAACGAAACAGATCTGAATAAGTCACTGTACAGTGGTGGGTGGCCTTCACGGATGAGATATTCCTTACATACAACGTACTAAGCCAACATCATGAAATCCACTGTGTGGGACTGTGGAGGTGAACAGCACGATGCTCATCGCGGTGCCAAGATGAAATAAAGATCCAAGCCAATCAGCAATGGGGCTTATGGGTAGTGTGCAGCAACATTTAGGTATCAGCTTAAGGCTTTTGAGCTCCTTAATAAAAATGTCTACCTTTTTAGAGAGTGGGGAGCCTTTATTTTCAAATGGACAAAGACTAACTTAGTTAAGCCATCACATTTATCTAATTAAATAAAGCTCCTCATTATAAAAGTAGAATTGTGAGAAAGGAAAAAGTTAATCAAATTAGGGTCTATTTACACTCGTGATGCACTTTTAACTTCTTTTTACTCGAGATGCATCACAATGGTCAAAGACTTGTGTATGTTTGCATAGACCAACAAATAAGACGTGTCCTATATGAACAGCCCCCCTGATGATTAAATGTCCTACCTGCTCATTTCATAGAGGAAACGGTCTGCCTTTGCCATGCGGTCCAACTCATGTTTGTGCTCCTCTAGTAGGTCCACATCACACTTCTCTGGGACAAACTTGAGCATCTGGAGCAGTGAAGAAAACACCATCAATTACAACAGCACTAATAATAGAGAATCACCCTTAACCAGTCTTGAGTGATATTATTTTGGAAGACTATTCTGCTATAGAGTAAAAAAGTAACTTAGTGGTAATTGTAACTTAGTTTCTTACAGTTACATTTATCTCACAATTGCAACTTTATATCTCACAATGTGACTGCTTCCATAATTGCAACTTTATATCTCATATTTGTTTATTTCAAGTAATTGCATCTTTATATTTCATAATCGTAAGTGTGAATTTCCATGATTGTTTATTTCCCATAATTGCAACTTTATAGCTCACTACTGTGATTTTATCCCTCATGACTGCGACGTTATACAGTAGCTCACAATTGTGAATTTTTCCTTAATTGTGATTTCATATCTCACGATTGCTACTTGATATCTCTCAATTACGACTATATATCTGAAAATGTGACCGTTTTCCCTAAATGCAACTTTATGGCTCACAATTGTGATTTTGCATGACTGCGACGTTATAGCTCACGATTGTATATTTTTCCATAATTGTGACTTTATATCTCTCAATTGGGACTTTATATCTGAAAATGTGACTCTTTTCTTCCATAATTGCAACTTTATGGCTCACAATTATTTTATGTCTCATGATTACAACGTTATACACTGCATGCATAATTATTAGGCACGTTGATATTCTGATGATATTTTTTTTCTAAGCACATTTTACCAGTTCCAAACCACATCAATCTTAATAACTACTATTCATTTTGTATTTAATCATTTATAAGTGATATATAATTGTCCATG